CATGCATTGCGTATCAAGGAAGGCCCTGTCATAAAGGAAGATGACACGCATTCGCGTGTCGTAACCTTACGACGCGCACGTTAATGACACGCAATGCGTATCAAGAAAGCCCCTGTCAAGAAAGGCCATGTCATAAATGAAGATGACACACATTTTTGCGTATCGTAAATTTAAATGTTTTAAAAAAAATATTATATATAGATTTACTTATTTTCAAATTAAATTTGTATTTAATGTTTTATAATTGAAAATAAAATATCATATACAAAAAATATGTCAAAAAATTGTAATACATTGGTAATAAGGGAATCCGATTGCATATTGTTATTAAGAGGTTTTCCCTAACTATATAACCTAATACTACATTGTTGTTAAGGAACACCTTCTTGTTTCTACTTATTGTTATGCTTTTTTGTCCACGTGATACCTGTTTTCATCATAACACATTAGTACTCAGAATGCCTTCAAGCAACATCAATCTATGTTATAAAATATTAAAATTTAATACAAATATAGTAAAATACCTTTTTCCAATAATCCAGGGTTGAATACAACCCATACCTGTATAAAATATTAAAATTTAATACACATGTTGATTACAAAAATTAATATGAAAGAGTGAAATAGTAAAATACCTTTTGCCAATTGTCATTGCAGCAATTCAATACGACCCATACCTGTATAAAGAAGCATGGTGACATACAAGGGAAAATCAGTGCAAAAGGGTATGATGGGTTTTGTTCGTCTTCAATTGGGAATTCCTTGTTTTGGTAGTTTTTATAAAAATTCTGCATAAAAATAAAATCTTTTCCATTTCTTGGTGAATGCAAGACTTAAAACAATCCGAATGTTTTTAATCTAGTTTAGTGGTGAATGTTGCTTATTATCTTTATGATGGCGATAGAGAAGTTTTTAAAGTTGTCAACTTTTTCTAGAGCTTTGATTTTGTTGGATTTAATAGATCAGATACCTGGGGCCACCCCCATAGTTCCTAGAATGTTCCAAAATATGTTCCCGTTAGCATCTGGTCAGGTCATAAGTTTAAGATTGTATGTTTTTTTTATACACATTGTCCATTTGCAATTTGGAGCTCTTCCTGTTATGCCAGTTCAAGCAGGAGAAAAGCTAACCTTATCAGTCAAAGGTTCTCTGCCCTAAGGTTGATTCTGTTCTATGTACTCAAAGAACAACCTACTCTAAGTGGTGGCAGAATCACTATCATTGCTAGACATTATTGAGCTCACATACTCTTCTCATGTTGTCCAAAACCTGAAAATTGATTATTATAAACTTGTAAGAAACAAATTCATATTGATTACAAGTAATGTACATTATACAAGCCTTGTTTCTGCCTCTAGCTTGTTTGAGTCACCAGTAAGAATGACATGTGCACTTTATTTTGCAGCAATTAAACTAGGTAGTGATATTCTAACTCCAAGCTGCAAATAAACGTTATGTTGAGGTTGAATAATTGATAATCAATTAATCATAAACTAAACACATAATGAATCATGAATTATCTAAAACAAACAAGCTAAAATGGTGTAAAATGTTTATTTTTAACTTTGTTGGTTAAACATTAGTGACTTTAACATTTTGTGATCTAACTTCCCTTGTATATAATTGTTTTTTGGTTGAAAATGGGTGACTTTAACAGTTGGTGACCAAATTGCCCCATTAATTCATAATTTCAAAATAAATAACCAGAAAACATTGACATCATTTTATTTAGACCAAAACTATTTCATTCTAACATTCTAACATTCTAACATTCTAACATGATTTTCAACTGTATGCATACATAATTTTCAACTATTTCATTCTAACATTCGAACATGATTTTCAACTTTGTATATACACACAAGTAAATTAAATAGTACAAACATATTTTTAGAACCAAAAATTAGTAAAAAATAAAAAATAAAATTATATTTGAAAATACCTTCCCATCAGCTGACACACAGTCACCGTTGTTCAACTTGACATACTTTTTACTCCACTATCATATATATATATATATATATATATAATATATATATATATATATATATATATATAAATTAAATATAAGTAAAAAAGTGGAATAATAAATATATATACATAATTAAAAAAAAAAAGTCAAACCTTATCCCAATGAATGAAACGAGGATTTTTGCTTTTGTAATCCACCACTATCATCTGCAGCTAAGTCAAGAACAGCAGACTCTAACCTATTTCATCAATCAATACAAATTTTTAACTTTATATCATCATAATACCAACTTTTTTATAAAAATGATCACAAGTTCAAGTCTCCTGAGATCTAGTTATTTACAACCAATCCTACGGCTCAATGTATGAAAAATAACAAGTATAACAAACTCTTATTAGTATTAAAAATTTATATAAAAAGGAATAAATCTGTTTTCTTTTTGCCGTTTAAAAGGATTAAAAAATTGTTGTTGATGCTTATCATACCAAAAGTCCAAAACTTAGTCAGTCTGCTTTCGTGTTGCGGTTAAATAACTAATTTTCTGCACCAAATCTTATTAAAATGCACCTGCTCAGACCACTAGATAGTCCCTCCTCATCTTGTTTCTTGGAAGCTTTTTTCCAGTCATTGCAAGATAATCTTCTTCAATCTCTTCTCTAGTAAGCCTGATCAATAATTTTGGTTTCTCATTTTCTGGATCCTCACTCATCTTGTCCTTAGAAACCGAGTTTTCACCTTCTGAAGGGACCTTAGAAGAGGAACCCTTGGATCCATGGTTACCAGCCGGATTAGGCTCCTTTATTTTGGCTGGTTTAGACTTAATATCAACCTTAGTGGATGTGGAGCTGCTGCTGTGCTTCATGTACCGAGGTTGCTCGGCGACATGTGGTGTTCTCATGGGTGCACCCCTTGGGAGTCGTTGGTTTCTCTCCGTACTAGGCCACTTCAATTCATCTGGCATGTTAAATTAATGTAACTTCTTGTTAAAGCTTCATGTAGGCATTTTGTTCTGAAAACATGAAAAGTAGAATCAAGATACAAACAATACAATGGAAAATGTTACAAAATAAAGCTACTATTTCTGTAATTACAGTGCTATCTACAAAACCAATATATAGTTTTCACTTTTCAGTTAAATAAAAATAAAAAATTATTGAAATTAAACACTAGTTTAAAGATATCAATCATATTATCATACCGATTGATATCTGAGTGACTCCAAGTTGAACTTCAATGGAAGATCGCCCAACCCATACAACAGAACCACCCATTTTTAGATCACCATCAACACTAATTGTTTTATTGAGAACCATTTTGTCAACAGATGCAGTAACCAGTAATAAGGGCCTTGTCATGCTATACAAAAAGAAAGAAACTTAATTATATTAACAAATTGATGAATGTTGTTAAAACTGTGTGATGGAATGTAAGCGTAAAATGGTCATTTATTTTCATTCAAGCGGTTTATTCGGTCCAGAAAAGTGAAAAGAAACAGACCTTACGAGTAATGAGTTATGTATGAAGCACTTTATCAGATTTTGAGGGTGGACCCCGTCTTCAATGAATGGTTTTGCCTCCTTCAAGAACTCACCAGCAAGAAGAACTACTATTGTGGTTCCATCACCAGCAAGAAGAAGAAAGGTTAAGTTCATGTAGGATGTTTCCAGTGAGATGTGAAATTAAATACTTGAGCATAGAAAGTTGTTTTAGGTTCTACAGTTTTCTTGGTTGGATGGGGGTCTGAGTTCACTTGTATTTTAAGTTAGAGCCAACCACAGTGCATGTTTTAAAGAGAAGGGAGATAAAGACACACACTCTTGTACCGTTTTAATAAGTTATGCTACTAAAACCTAAAGCAGTTGAAAAAAGGGCAATGAAGCAGTTGAAAAAAGGGCAATGCTGAGAAGGAAAAAATAAGTGAGGGCAAATTTGTAAAATGTTAAGTTCTTTCTTCATTAGCCCTATATATATATATATATATATATATATATATATATATATATATATATATATATATATAATATATATATATATAACCATCAGAATACCAGATCAGATTCAACGCATGCCAAAGTGTCATAAATTCAAAAATAAATAGTAAGAGAAAATAATTAACATAAACTGACATTGCATTGTCATCTTCTTCAAAGTTCAAATGGATGGTGATGGTCTACCGGATTGTAGCTTTTCTGGGGAGACGTTGGCAGCTGCAAATTAACATCATGTGAAAAAACCCCACCTAGTTTTGGTAAAATTCCGAAAATGCCCTTATTCCCCTTGACTTAGGGTAATTTTCCCAGCAAATTTAATGACTTTTCTCTACCATTTTCCCTTTTATCTTATTAATTTAATTATATAGTCTTAAATTTAGGATGTTATAGTATTGTTGCATTCAGAAAGAGATACTCTCTTCTCAATAATAGCATCTAAAAGATGTTATGATATTTTCAGAACAATTCCAGTATAAGAAGTCATCACGACAGAATCTTTGATGCCAAAATCAGATTTATTGCGGGATAAATGGAAAAGTATCATATTATCCCTAAATTTCTCAAATTATTATCTAATTATTATTCTTGAAATCAGAATAATTACTTAAGAAAAGAAAATCCAAACACCCCTTTCTATATTTTCTCCAAAAGATATAATGAATACCAACTACTTCCTACTTTGAACTTTGAAGTAGTGTTTGGATGTGCCAATGATATGCAAACCATAGTTGTTGTTGTTGTTGCTGTTGGATGTGACTTGAGCATTGAACTCTGCAATGTATATTTTCCCATCTCTCCCACCAGGGGCATTTTAGGCATGAGAGAGCTTGATGAGATTTTAGCAAACATATTTCAGCAAGTATATTTCAGCAAGTACTTACATTTAACATAGAACAAAGATTTCAAGCAAATAGATTTAAAAAAAATTCAAATCATATCCCAACTTCAGATTTCAGCATGAGATTTTAGCAAATATATTTCAGCAAGTATGTTTGTTTCAACAGTTCATTGCAGATGGTGACCACGAAGGAAGATTGATGGGTACGAATTTATCATCACCAAGTAAAAAATACGCAGATAGAAGACATGAATTAGCCCATCTCCAAAACGAAGGATTTATGCTAACGGGTTCAGGTTCAGGTCCAAGTCTTCATCTTGTAGCGGTGGATGCAGGGGTGGCTGAGCAGTGGTGGTCCAGGTTGAGTTCGTCAGTTCAAAGAGAGGGGATAATCAAATTCCTGTAATTGATGCGAAGGGAACAAATAAAAAAAAATCTTTGTTTTGACCCTGGACAATAAAAAGGGTTAGATACAATTAGTGGCATAAAGGGAACAAATCAGAAAACATGTAACCTGTAAGACGTGAGCAAGTTACAAGAACTTGCTCTCTGTTTCTAAACCCTGGAGTGGTTATAGAGTCTTGTGTGTTTTCCAGCTAGTCTTTCCAACCAATAAGAGTCCTTTTAGTTCTCTCATGCGCCGTTTTATCCTTATTTGCCACCGAAACCTCTACTTTGGTGTGTTTTCGCAGGAGAAAGTTAGGGGAAAATGAATGAAAGGGGAGATGACGAAAAAGATCTTGATGTTTGAGAATTTTGGGTGTGCGAAAGAATTTTGGGTGGGAATGAACCCTAAATCTCCAAGGTGGGGTTTTCTACTTTTTTGGGTTTTCTAATCGAAGTAGGGAGATCGATCTCCTTTTTCTGAGTGAAGACCTGGTGGAGGATAGATATAAGAGAAAACCTGGTGGAGAAGGAGTCCCCTCCTTACATGTAATCTGCTGGCGACAAGGAAGAACAACCAAGGAGACCGCCGGAGCACCTCCCCCCCCCCCCCCCAAGCTGTGGCAGACAAGAGAAGCGTCGCTGCTTTTCCCTTCTCCTTTTGTCAAATCGATCCCGCACCAGAGGTGCTTCCCCTTTCTCGATTGATTTCCATCATCGAGCCACCATGGCTGCTTGCGTTCCCATCTTCCTTTCTCGATAGATGAACCACGACCACCGGACCAAAACTCCCGCTACCTTCGTCATTCTAATTCCCCTTTATCGATTTATCTGTGGGGAATAAGAAACAAACGAGAATCAATATTTGGATTCTAATATTGAGACTTGAGAGTATACTACTTAATTAGGGCTTTTTCTGAAAATTTCAACATCGGGTGGGGAATAAGAAAACTATTGGCGAGTATTCTCAATAATAGCAGAGAGATGAAGAAGGTGAAATTACAGCAACGATGAAGTAGATGAATGGAAATCAGAAGCCTTTTTTCTTGATTGAGATGATGAAGTCGTGAGATGGAGATGAAATCGTAACCTTCGATCTTTGATTGAGAAGTTGCACAACAGTTTGAGGAGAATGAAAGATGCGTGAAAATGCTTAGGGCAGGGAGGGTAGCGGGCTTTTCTAATTTTTTTGCTTTTCTTTTCCCGCTTGTAACTAAGGAACGCGCGTTCATTAAAATTATAAAGCGACACATATAGAGGGCGCACATTTAAGGTACAACGCCCTCCGTGTTTTTAATTTTTTTTCTTTTGACACTAATTTAAAGGCACGCAATAATGCGTGACCTAAATCCTTAAATTTTTTGAAGAGATGACACTTTTTTAATGTCACTCTCGTTTGCGTAACATATATTAATGAGTGTCATAATTTGCGCGTCGTAAAAGGCTATTTTTCTAGTAGTGCATGATCGAAAGATGAAAAAATAAAAGAGAAAGAGTAAGAGAGATACCTTCAAGAATAGTCGGTGATGATCAAAAGAAGCAAGAGGAAGTAAAGAAAAATGCTCCACTATTTACCTTTACTTATCTTGGTAACATATGAGAGAGAAGTGATTTTTCCGTGCCGTCATGAGCATAAAACAGATAAAATTATCTGTTAGATTTTTGAATTTCAAAAAACTTATCTGTATTTTCAATAAAATTATACCTTTAAATATTTGAAATTAACTTAAATATTTTACAGGTATAATTTGAGAGAAATTGTTAGGGGTAAGATCCTCAATCCTACTTAGGATCTTGGATCTTAAAGAAACTTCGGGATCATAAAACATATCTCAGGATCCTAACTTTTGTTATTATTATTTCCTAATAAAATTAACTGGTATATTTCTACTCTTTTTCTCACATGTGCAGAAATAGTCAACATCATACTCATTCGAAGAAACGTTTCAATCAGGTTTAAGACCCGAAAATACCAAGTCAAACCAACATGTTCATACTTATTCAAGGGGATCTCGAAAATATCGAACTTTTAGTTACTTGAATTAGACTATAAATACACATGTACTCTACACGCTACACACAACTAGAACTACTACAACACTTGTACTCGTATTTCTATCATCATCTCTATAAATTTTTTTCATTCAAATTAATAAAAACAATCAACATTGCTGATCATTATCACCTCCCAAAGCTTTATGCCGAAGATCCTATCAAGGATCAAAGACTTTTATTGTAAACCACAATTTCCATTTTGATCTCAATTTGATTCTTATAATCGTTACAACACCACAACCTCTCATACAACTTGGTTGATTCTCATTTGATTGATTTCTGACCAAAACAAATATTAGTCGTATAATTATTTATATATTCATTTGGGGAAATCTCCAGAAAAATCCTAAATTTAATCCAATTTATGAAAAAATCCAAAACTAAATTTTGTTTAAAGAAAAACACAAAATACCGGCTAAAACTTAAAAAAAAAACCTTTTTGGCCGGTTTCATAGATTTAGCTGACATTTTGTGTCCTTTTTCGTTAGTTTGCTCAAAATATTAAGACTTTTTTGAAAATTACCCAATAACTAAAATATGAGGACTTTTCTGAAAACTACTATGGAATTAATGAATATTATTATTAACAAATCATTTATAAACATAACAAATATTTTTTATTATAAACAAGTAAATACATTTGTTTTTAATTTCTAGGAATAGAATGGTCGACTAGGTTTATTGTTTGTTGACCACTTCAAATTCTTTATGTTCCTCATTTGTATCGTTGTGGGTTTCATAGTGAGATTTACTAAGTACATTTCTTCAATTAAATACAAGAGTTGATACTATTTATTAATACACAATCAATAAGTGTCTACTTTCTATTAGGTGTGGTATTATATGATCACATGTTATTAGAAAATATCATTACATAATGATTCTTGAACATATAGATCTTTCATTATGTTTTTTTAACCTAAATACCACCTAACTTCCATACATTATTCGGTAACAACCACCAAATTACACACATAGTGAAAAATAAAGTTTGAATGACAATTTAAATAGATAATTACCCTACATTTGTTTCCATATAAACTATCATTTATGATTCACTTTTTCACATTTGATAGATGTATGTTAGACAACATAAGAAGAACACTAACATTAGAGGAACACTCATTGAGTACATCCCACCATCATACACACAACGATGCATAGAAGGAACGTAGAGAGTTTGGTGTGGTCGATAAACAATAGAGTACTTAGACCACTAACTTATTCCTAGAAATTAGAAACAAGTGTATTTCTTTTTTTTATAATAAAAATATTTGTTATGTTTATAAATGATTTGTTAATAATAATATCCATTAATTCCATGGTAATTTTCAGAAAAGTCATAATATTTTGGTTATCAGGTACTTTCCGGAAAAGTCTCAAAATTTTAAGCAAACTAACGAAAAAAACAGAATACCGGTTAAAATTTGCGAAACCGGCCGAAAAGGTTTTTTTCGAAGTTTTAACAGGTACTCTATGTTTTTCTGTAAACAAAATTTAGTTTGAGATTTTATTATAAATTGGACTAAAATTTTAGGATTTTTCTGAAGATTTCTCTATTCATTTGACATAAATTATAATGTGAATATTAACGTATGATTATTCATATATTCATTATCGAATAATGACATTCAATATATAAAAAATTCATGACAGTGTAATAACATAAAATAGTATCTTCAAGTTTTATTTTATTTATGTCTTTATTTGAACCAATTCACGCACAAAGTGTCTCAAATAAGGTGAATTGGGATGAATACTGAAGGTATAGAAAACACCGTTGTAGTAAAAATCTTCTTCGTTCTCATAACAATATAAAATCTTGTTCGTTCTCATAACAATATCATGGTAAGATTATACTGAATGTAAATATTTATCAAAAGACACGAGAAATCACATACAGATGAATGAAAGTTTGTTGCCCATCCAGTGATATGCTCCTTCTATATCATGGTAATTAAGATTGCATGCATGTAAATATTTAAAACACCAATAGGTGTCAGGGAAAAATGAGAATGTATATTATAATCTCTCAAAAACAGAATAAAAATGACACCCGAACGTAAATATGAAAAATCACAATGTTCAACCCATGTATATATTTAACATATGTATGTATTAAGAGAATCTAAGGGTTGACATTTTGCTATTAATAAAAAAGTCAGCTATTACTTTAGTTCTTACTCCCCACTAAATATAGTTATAAGGAATCTAAATCAAACACCAAATAACAGTTTTTCCAGCTTCTAGTAAATATTACTATTCTTTCGTTATTTCTTATGTAAGATATTATGATTTAACTTCTCAATTTTAACCGGATATGTTGAGTAGAATACTCATGGGTTTTATTAACCCTTCTTACTAGCAATTTCGTGTCCCATCTATAAACATTTAATATATAAAAATAAATATTTTTAATGGCCATGACAAATTACGTTAAAACAAAATTATAATTTCACACTGTTCAAAATCATTGGGGCGGGTCCTTAGCACAAGCTCTGTCTTGTAAGGGATCCCGGAATTTGAGTTTGTCACGGTTCCGTCACTATTATGTCGTTAATTTTCACTTTCTTTGCTAATATTTCACTATTCGTTGCTAATTTGTTTCTATCCGTTTGTAATTCGAAAATTTAAAGCCCAACTTTAATTTTTGCACAAAGTTTTAAAATCAACGGACTGACTCTGAAAATAATATTCCTAAAACAGCTCATATCATTTTATAGCACTTAACTTGTAGCATCCCAATCAAGAGGTATAAATTGTTAGTTTTTGCACTCAGAAGAGGCTCACGACGTGAGCCATAGTGGTCACGCCGTGGGTAAGGCAATTGACTCTTTGACCCGCATCCTCGAACTTCGCGACGTGAGGCATCATTTCTCACGACGTGAGCTAGGCTTGATGCTCCCAAACTTTAAAAATCATGTATAAAAATAGAATGAGGAGGCTAGGGTCGCCCACCCTCAGCCTCTTTCACTCTCAAGTCACTGAAAACCCTAAATTAGATCCTTTTGGGTCGAGCCTTTGTTAGAGGTGTTGGTGTTAAAGGTGTGTTATTTTTCTTTGAAGAAGAAGAAGAAGAAGCTCTTATGGTTACTCATTTTGGCAGGACCAACTCATCTTTGTGGACTAGCTGAACTTGTGAGCTCCAGTAAGGTATCAAGATCCTACCTTTTTCACTTAAGGTTGCTAAATCTAGGTTTTGGCACCTTCTTCTATTGATTTTCGGCATTCAGCTTTATGAGGTGATTTACATTCTAGTAGAAGTGGGTCTAAGGCCACAATGTCGGCCCACCAGTAGGAGTTGTTTGTTAGATGATTGTCTTTGTGATAATTGTCTGGTATGCCACTATCTGATATGCTTTATGGGCTAGGATGCTATGACATATGTGTTATTAATAGTAGGGGTGCAATAGTCCCCGAATACTGGTTGAAAGATACCGAGGAGGTAGACAGTACCCATGCATCCCTAACAGTATTGGGGTTTCAGGGAAGAAACCAAAGGGATTCGACTCTAGGTCGAAGGGCCAACAGGGCTGGAGCCGCTGTGGGAAATGCGGCAGGTCACATGAGGAGTTTGTCGGACTGGGGGCTCGGGCTGCTATAAGTGTGGCAGGACTAGGCACTTTGGCAGGATTGTACCGCCCCTACCCCCA